CCTGGACTGCTTACCAGATGTCATGTGTCCTCTAGGGCAGTGGTCGGCCATCTTCTTAGAGCAAAGGCCACAAAAAAATGTTTACTAACCTTGCTGGGCCACCTGAGTGAATTCCTCTATCTAGCCGATAAACTCGCCGACTGGGAATAGGTCGCGTTTCTCCGGGCACATCTCCTCCGTGACCTCCGGCATACACTGCTTAATAAACTCACCGTCCGTGAAGGGATTGCCAACTTCTGCTAGAAGCTGTGATACTCGATAACTAGCTCAGGTAGCCGCAACATTTTCTACGACTTTTCTTTGGAACAGTTTTTGCTGCTTTTTGTGACTTTTTCAACTGTTCTAATTTTTCCCTCCATCCATCTCCTGTGTATTCCGAATGTAGCCTGATGTTTTGTCTCGTGACGCCTTTTTGTGTTGTATTATTTATTCACGACGATTGTTTCCTGACAGATAAGATGCATTACCCTTTCTTTCCAAGGGACACACAAGTAAGTACTCTTCTGACCATTTGTCGTTACATTTTCGACCCTCTGCATCGATCTTTCTTTTTGTCAGCATGGTAGGAATAACTTACAGTTAGAATCAGTTATAACTTTTAGAACCGTTTGAAATCATTACCTGCTTTCAAACAAAATAGCAAATAGACGTCAATTGGGTGACTGAGCCAATCACAGTAGGCAACAAAAGTCCAAATGTATTCACAGTAAGAATCAGTTGTAGCACAGAGGAGTATGTAACCTAGGCTAAAGCTGACATCTGATAGGCTAAAAGTAAAATGCATTGTGCAATACAGTACAGTAAGTGTTGTTCTGCAATTGACCGTTAGTGCTGAGAGAGCAGCAGAGCTAACTGTCACAATTGTAGTCCCTCCCCCTTAAGGGCGCTCCGGCTCCTTCACTTTTTAGTTGATTTTGTGCACCTGCTCCCTGTTCCAGCCCACCTTTAAAAGCCAGACGCTCACTCTGTCCTGGGCTCTGCACTGGAACTCGGACGCCCGGAGGCTCGCCTACCACCGAGTCGCCCTACGTCTGCGGCTCGGGTGGCATTCGCCTCCTAGGTGTCCTGAACCAGCCGAGCCCGGGACCTAGAGCGCCTGGTTCCATTCCTCCTTTCTTCCCCCCGACCCTTCGCCGGATTCCGCTCCGGTTTTTAACTTTGTTTTGTTCATCTTGGATTTATCAACCGACTCTGGACCTTCGCCTGCACTGGACCTCCCTTTGGACTCCCTTTTGGACTGTTCGCCTGGACCACGCCCCCAGGAGCATCTTTGTCACACTCCCCCAGTTCGTCTACCAGCCCAGTTCCTCGTCTCCCCCCTGTGTGTGTTCACTCCCTTCCGGGTTGTTTCGTCTGCATAGGGTCCTGAAAGATGCTTCGTAACACTAACAAGAAGAGGCCACTAGTGGAAGATTTTCAATATCTGATGCAAAAAGTAACCCCCAAGATTCAAACAGTAGGGAGCTGCAGCCACTCAGAGAAGTTCAGCGGGCGGGATTTGGCCCACGGGCCGTAGTTTGTCGACCCCTGCCCTAGGGTGTCCCAGTGATCACATGATCTCTACTGCAATGCTAACTTTATAGATTTATAACTTTATAGATTTTATAACCTGCTCCTAGATTCTATTAATAAGGTAGCTACTATCTTATCCGATTATCTGCAAACACATTTAAGACAAGACTTGTCAGAATAGAGTGATGCAGAAAATGTGTTTTTACTGCTTTTATTGCTAGAAGTTGTAGAGGAGCCTGATTATGCTGTTGCTTTCTTAACAACAAATACTTTATGTAGTATATATAAATTATAAGAATATTGAGATCTTTTACTAAAACTTCTCCTGTGCAGGAAGAAAGAGTATAACTTTCCCTCTCCAGATGAAAGTATGACATCAAGGTCTCCCGCAGTCCTGGTTTCAACCAGGACAAAGCTTACTTTTTTTTCCATAATTAGTTTGAAAATCCAGTGTGCATTCTGTTTTCCAGACACAAATCGAAAGCTTTTAAATAAGGCAAGCTTACATGCTAATTTGCTTAATAAAATGGTGATTTGACTTGTAAAACAGCAACTCAATGTGTTGACTCAGTGAAAAGAGAATAAAAATACAGTATTTACCCCAATACCACACACATAAGCTCACTTCAAACACAGATCATCTTCTGAAAATATACATTCACATCCTGACAACAAAAAAATGTGATTGCCTGGTTATCAAGAAACTGCTGTGTCACCATCCCTGTAGTCTTCTTAACCTGATGGGTCATTATGAGCTTCATTCTCGTTTCCATGGAATTAACATTCTCTGAGCCTTTGAAGGCTTAAATGTCACATGGCTACTTCAACGCACTTGCAGAATCATTTCTAACGTAGCAGATATGTTTGAAACTCCCAGGGGGCTTTGCCCCTCCGCTCCTGGCCCAGAAAGAGAAGCTGGGCAGAGGCCAGTGAGAGCAACATGACCTTTCAGGTGGGAGCTGACTCCTGACCACCATCAAAGGCTCAGGAGGGGCATGAGGGGGAGTGCGAGACACGGGGAAGGGGCACGACTGCGAGGCGGAGAGCACGAGCCGACCTTCATTCAGACCAGCCTCCAGCCGGGCAGGAGCACAGAGACAGACTGGTGTGAGAGGAAGGCGACCGCGCCGGAGAGACCACCGGCATCGTGAGTACCCTTCCTGCACCTCGACTTTGACCACCCATTTCGCGTCGACGCCTCAGACCTCGGTCAGATGCAGCACAGGCGCCGAGCCCGAACGGATGGCTTCAGCTCGTCTGCTGGCGTGCATACAGTCCGTGCAGGAGCAAGCGGCCAGGGCAGACCGTGTGCTCTAGAAGAACCCTCACCTGTGCTTGGCGCTGTTGAGCGACACTTGCATGACACTTGCAGAGAACAAAACGATTAAAACTGTCTGAGTGCCCATCTCTCCCTGGTTACACGGCTTCCTTGTGTCTGAAACAGAAGTGAGCCACAGGATAAGACGCCTGCCTGTGAAAATCCAAGCGGTTTCCTTGGCTCCTGTTGCAAGACGGCCAGGGTGGGCATCCTGATCTGCGGAGGATTGTTGGGGGGGGGGAACGACCTGCAAGCCCTCCCCCCACCTCCACTGAAAGGCGGGGAATATCACACAGAGGAACGACAAAATCACGGCTGCTCCCCTGATGTCAGTCCTGCATTTCTGCTCTCAGCAGCTCAGCCTGGCAGGGCTCCTCTGCCGTCCAGCAATCAACAAGGAAGCCGGAGCTTGCCAGGAAGCGTGTGCAGAAGTGAATTGTATGTATATAGCTTTTCCTACCAAAGAACCTCAAAACACTTTATATATGCGAGGGGAGCTACTTCACCCACCCCTGAACTGAAGGCCCACCTGGGTGACACACAGCAGATAAGGAGGACGAGAGAGAAACCACTTTACCAGTTGGATTAAAGGTGAACTTTAGGAAGGAAAGACTGTTCAAGCCCTCCTACAGGACAGGATCCCCAGTCCCCATACTGACCCATTGGTTCAGTTGACCTATTGCCTGTGGGCATGAATCGTGGGGCTGTGCCAACGCCAGCTATCAACTCTCAGCCTACATCACGGGCTAACCCTCAGGGGTCGCAAGGTCAATGTGAGCAGCTAGGAGACACAGGGGAGAGGCAGCCATGCCAGCCAGGGACTGTCTACACCTCCTTGCCTCATGGGCCGGGACTGGAGGGCACGGAGGTCACCCAACCAGCATGCAAGCGACTTCGCTCTCTGTTCAGGCGACCCCGAGCAGTGCAGCCCTTGGCCAGCGCCTCCCCCGGCCTGCCCCGCCCGGCAGCTCTTCGCACCCACCATTGCCCGCTCCTCCTCAGAAGCAACCACCGCAACGGGCACGATACCGGACACCCGCCCTTGAGGACCCTGCTAGGCAAGCTGGGACACTATGGCCAGAGGGCCAAACAGTGGAGCGCTGTGACCCCACAGCTGGGGACCCCCGTGGTCAGGAAGAGCAGTCGAAGGCCCAGGGGAAGACCGGGGGGTCTTGTCAAGATCCAGACTCATTCGGAAGATCACCCTTCTCCCCAAGAGCTGGCATCCATTCAGCCGCTGGCCCCTGGAGCCCCAGGGCACAAGAGCAGGGAGAGGCCTTGGGGTCATGGGGATACCAGGAGAGACAGCCTCTTAGCCCCAGGGTGGGAGCAAGGGGAGGCAGGGGCTATCTGCAGCAAACTGCGAGGCCTGTCTGTGGGGGGCACGGCTGGCCTCTTCGCTCCCAGGACGGCCAGAGCCCTGTCTGACGAAACCCCGGGGAGCACAGCGCCCTGCCCAGGCGGCGCCTGGCTCGGGGGTGCGCGCGCGGGAGTCTCCGACAGGCCAGGGGGCGCAGGCGGACGTCCTCACCTCTTCCCCCCTCTCTCCACTTCAGGGTCCCTCCTGACCGTTCCCACGGACATCCCTCGAAATTCACCTCCCCCTTCCCCCCGCCGCAGCCCCCCCGATCCCCGAGAGTTCCCCCTTCCCGTGCCCGAGCTGCGCCGAGCACCCCGCGCGACGAGGCGGGACGCCACAGGTGGGCCGTTGCCGCAGACTGGCTTGGCGCACGCGGGCAGTGCGAAAGAGGGGGATGGCGGAGCTCGGGAGGGGCACTCGGACAAGCCCAGCAGGCAACGCGCCTCCTCTCATCTGCAACACCGTGGGCAGTGAGGCGAAGCGCCAGGCTGTGCCAGGGTGCCCCGGTGGTCATGGGAAATCCAGGGTGCCCCCGGGTACCGTATCACAGGCTGATTTAAACCGCATTCACTGGGAGCACTAGGATTTTAGAACATGAAAATGAAACCAACAGTATACCAAGCTGCTTCCCAACTGTGATAATACCTACTTCAGCAAGTCTGTGATGGTCATTATTTTAAAAAAGTCCATAAAATGTATTTACTTTTATGTATATACACAGTATCTGTGTCACTGCTGCACTTCACTGAAATGATTAAGAATAGCCGCAGTAATGCTAGGACTGTTTATATTAAAGTTCAGGACATGAAACATTGTTCATTACTTTTAATTCCAAATATAAAACTAAACGAGACACAGTTTGCCAACGTATTGCTTTTTCCCAGGCACTCTCAAAACACTGTTTATCATTTTATTGAGGGAAACTGTCTCTTTACACAGCTTATCACTGAGTTTCAGGCTCTCTCTGCTCTTATTGGAAAATGGCAGCAAGCAGATAGCCGCAGTGGAACAGAACACAAACATGTCAGACACAGGGACAGGGCTGCCGTTTCTAGGGCTGGGGGGGCGAAGGTCAAGTCCGTGTCCTGCCGTCACAGGGGTGGCTGGAGCCCCTGCCCCCTGCTGCTCCCCTTCGCCTCCTCCAGATCCTGGAGCTCGGCTTGGGCGATGTCAGCCTGGCTGAGCGTGACGGGGTGCTGGGAGTCCCTGTGCAGCTGCTCGTTGACCTCGGAGCGCAGGGCGGAGGGGGACAGGGAGCGCAGGTGTGAAGGCAGGTGCCGGAACTCCTCTTCATTGATATCACAGTCCCTCATGTGCCTCTCCAGCACCCACCAGCGGCCCAGAAAGCCCACGTCCAGCAGCCGCTCGGGCAGCTCCAGCCAGCGGGGCCGCAGGTGAGGGCAGCGTGCCTCGTACAGGCTGCTGTCGGGGTCGAAGGGCGCGCTGTACGCCAGCGTGGCCACGCCCAGGTTCAGGCAGCGCAGGCGCCCCTCGTTCCGCAGCCAGACCAGCCCCTGCACGTGGGCATCCGCTGTGCCGCTCCGTATCCACGGCGACAGGAGCAGTAGCGTGTTGGAGGCCTCCAAGAGGCAGCTCTCAAAGGAGGCGGGGCCGGGGTTTCTATGGTAACAGCCCCAGACTCCGCCCAGCAGGGAGAGGTAGGCAGCAGCTTTGAGTGGCCGCTCCCGCAGGCCCACAATGACATCACGACAGGCCTCCCGGTAATCGCCAAGGAGACTGCTGAGCCAGAGCCCTGGGGGAGGAAGGAGAGAGGGGTCAGCCCTGCCGGGCACTGCAGCCTAGTGTCTTGAGGGACAGGGGAGATTTGTAGTTGAATTCAGTACTGAATGTTTTACTTGCATGCCTCCTCTACCATTCCTTCACTAAAAAACTAAATTATTATCAAATTATTCTAAATGTAAATATACTGCACCAAGAGAGGGGTTCATACAGACACACTGACTGACTGGACACTACAGTACATTAACACTGCACTGAGAGAGAGGGGTTCATACAGACACACTGACTGACTGGACACTACAGTACATTAACACTGCACTGAGAGAGAGGGGTTCATACAGACACTGACTGAGCAGTGACCTCCTCGGAGAGCTGTCTAACAAGATTCTCTGGACAGGGGACATTAGGTAACAGACTCTCACTTGGTCCCGAAACTACACAATGATCCCGCAAACAGACAAACAGCGCACACGTCCTGACGTCCTCACCTATGCGACTGTCCCGCGCTCTGTTCCACAGCGATCCCTTGATTCGTGTTGCTCCGCTTTGCTCCTCAGCGGCACGAGCAGCGCTCGAACACCACCTGCGTAAAACCCACGCGGCGGCCATGATCACTTGTCAGCGTACAAGGTCTTCAGTCGCAGAGCATTGTCGCTAGGGGAAACGGCCTCCATTGTGGCTCTGGGAGAAGGCTCGGTATTAAGTATAACGCCGCAGTTCTTTGAGCCAAAATGGCTGAAGAAACGGTCATAGTTTCTTTATACAATGTATTGTGTTACGCAGTTATCCCTTCCGATGGGGAAACAAGATATGACTATTGTATTCTATCTGTCTTCTCTATTTAAAAGTAAAAAAATCCCCAACATATATTAGTTTATTTTATTAAGGAACACGTGGTTTTCTTTTAAAGAATACAAAGAAGGTGAAACATAGCAGTTTTAAAGCTCCCACCATCTCTTTAGTTGTCTTACAGCGATGCACTGCTTTCCGGTAGCAATTTCCGGCTTCAGGCCCTCGTCACATGACGAGGGAAGATGCCTGCTGTGGGTGACGTGGAAGCACTGACGTTTCGTTTCAGATGTGGAGGCAGGAAAAAAAGAGAGACTTGAGGTTTACGTTATTTGTGTCATCTGTACTTGGGTATTTATGCTGAGTCGTGCGGATCTGTCCCGCTGACGAAGAGGAGAAACGGGATAGTTTCAGGTGAGACAAGGTGAGAATCCAGACTGCTGCAGAGGTATGGTTATAATTACCATAATGACGAAACTATTTTGGACCGGGCATGAAACAATTCTGCTTTCTAATGACTCCAACTCGTGTTAGAATAGCTGTATATGTAATAGCTTTTTTTCAGATGAACGTTTTTTACAGTCTTTATTGTCACTTGGCAAAAACTGGGCTTATATTAATTATGTCACTTGCAATAACGGCTTATTCAATTCAGGGTCGCGCTGCCTCGGAGCCTGTCCCGGGAAACACTGGGCGCAAAGAGGGGTACAGCCTTAGACGGGACTACAGTCACCGCAGGACACACACAAACACACACGCCCGAGGGCCAGTGGTTCCAGAAACCAGTTAACCTAACGGTATGTCTTTGCACTGTGGGATGTGGTTGCACCCGGAGGAAGGAGAACATGCAGACTCCGTGCAGATAGCACCCAGCTCCAGAAGGGAACACAGAGACCCAGTGTTGCCATGTAGCAATGCTAAACACTGCGAGGCCGTGCAGCAGCAATATTTATATTAATTAATTAATTATTGATATTAATTATTGTTGACTTCATCATCGTACTCATGCAGCATGGTGGTGTGGTAATTAGTCCGACTGCAACACAGCGCCAGTGACCCCGTCCACGCAGGGGTACCCCGGGAGGAGTTTGCATGTTCCCTCAGGGTTGTGTGGGATCTGTCCAGGTGCTCCGGTTTGTCCTACTTCCTACTTGTGCACAGGGTGCTCTAAACTGGCCCTTTCCAGAGCACTGAGATCAAGAGGGTTTCATATTGTCAGGCATGATCCCAGCCCAACAAGTACTGGCTACAGGCCTGTAGAGACATAGATCCACAACAGACATACTGCTGCTCTGGTGTTCTAACAGTTATATTACTGTTCCTACTGCTACTACTGTATCTACTGTTGCAGCTGTATGTACTGTGGCTGCCATTTCTTCTTGTGTAAAATAAAACTGCTGTAATAGCTCCTGTAGTATTTTCCAGACACTTTGAGCAGTTTATCCATATTATTATTATTTATATCATTGATAAAGTATTATTATTGTTATTTTGATTAACTGTTGTGTTCTGTTCCATTTCTGAAGACTGT